ATAACAAAATTGAAAAAAGTGAAGGGGGTCTGAATACTTTCCGAATGCACTGTATATCCATAATTATTGATCTCCTTTTCTAAAATTTCACCAAAAAGATCCACTGATTGAACCACAATCTCCTAAAAATCGTGGAATTGTTTAAATAATTGTTTAAATTCCAGTATACAATGCTACCTGCAGAACTCTGTAGTTTAGCCTACAAGTTTTTTTAATTCATTTCTTCTCTTAACCATACTAGCACAATCCTATACAAGTTATAAAGGAGTTCAATTCCCTGAATTTACTCTTAGGTAACTGGATAGAGAATTGTAGTCTAAATCTATTATTTGTACTAAGTACATGAATTGCACCTAAACAGTTAATTATTCACCAGATCAGTGGGTCAGCAAAGCACTCAAAGATTCTCTCAACAAAGAAACTGCTTCTTAACAAATTATGCCTGAAACCAGTAAACATTTCAAACAACATTCACTATTGTGGTAGCAAAGGGGGGCAAAGTGAGGCCTACTTTTGTCCTCACAGACACCAGTATATGTAAAGCACTGCCTCCAGCTGTCAGAGAGCAAAGAACTAGATCATATGTTTTATTACACAATAGGTGATACTACAGTAAATGGTACAATAAAGATTATTTGACATGATTTTTTTAAAAATATAAGCAAGAAAGTCCATTAATAACATATAACTTAAAGTAAAAACCCTTTCACTAAGTTTTGAAGTCCAAGGTGAAAGTACACCATCATTCTTCAGACATCTCAATCGCAGGTCTAAAGCATTCCTGCATACTCATAAAGCTTTATAAACAAATTGATCATATCATAGTAGCAAGCCCATGACAAAGAGACATTCTATAAAATTCTATGTTCCTCTTTCTATTCCCTGTCACATTTGTTTGCTTTCTGTTTTCCGACTGCTGACTTGGACACATTGGTTCAAAACAGAAATCTGAACAGAATGTGATGGAGACTGGAAACTAGTAACAGCCTTCCTTAATAGGACTGCTAGTGTGAGAAACTGCTCTGAAAGACCATCATGAGAAGTGAAGCTGAGATTCGGCAGACAGAGAGAAATATGCCAGTCCAGTAATTTTAAAAGAGAGATGAAGAACATGCTTGTAATCAACAATACTAAAAGAAGTATCCAACATTATAAACATTTCCAGTCTCAAAAGTGTTAATGGGATGAAGCTGCGGAATACTAATAAAGTGATAACTCAGTTCTGGAGCATAGCAAAATACAACTTTTTTTTAATCACGGTGGGACATAGAAGTATACAAATATGAACCTTTGGCATTATCCATGTGTTTTTACTTTGCATTAAAAATGTATTAACTATAATAAAAAGTGTTTGTTCTTCCTTAAATTTAATATTGTGCTTAAAACAGTGATACTAAATAAAAATAAAGTTATTGAAGAATTATCTAAATCATTAAAGAGACAGTTAAAGTATTTATATTACGCTCACTATGGCCTTTAAAGAAATACATTATTATTACATTCCAGTTAGTTTTATTTTCTCTAAAACCTTTCCTAATCTGATAATAGCTGATTAAAAAACAAGTAAAATCAATTTTTATTCTAAAATTTATTGTTATTTTAATGTTACTTGCATTAGTTGTAGTTTAGATTTAAAATAACTGCTACAAATTCATAAACTAAGACATCAGGGTTTTTTTGTTTTTACTTTTGCAAGACACTGGAAGTATCATGTATGATTCCTGCCTTCAAATGGTTAAACAACCAACTCAAATTACTTTACTGAAATAGATTTTTTTCAGTATAAACTCTGCAGAAGTTTTAAAAAGCAACAGACATTTGTTGGTCTACTAATAATACATGTCCTTGGCATTTGCATACAACACAACTTTCTATTTACACAAAATGTCTTTATGGGGAAATCTAGTGATACTATTCAGGATCCAAGACGAGAACATTATCAAGAATTACTTACAAACCTATATGCTCCTGACAAACATGGTGTAAATTTTAGAAACTGGGATGTAAAAGTCATTCATCAATCAACAGCATGGTTAGAAAATGCATTCCAGGAAGCAGCAAGCTATTATCTTTGCAACATTTTTTAAGGGTTGAAGCTTTTAAATTCCTACAGTAGTTTGATGTTCTGAACATACAAGGCACATTTGAACAGTAAAGATGATACAGACACACATAAACAAGCTATATCACAGTAGTATAAAGAACAGGAATTTACTGGGGCCACTCTTGTGAGAATATAAAGGGACTGAAATTTGAATTCCATTTCAAAATTCTAAAAAGCTTATTTCATTGTAGAAGGGGAATAAAAAAGAAAAATCTGAAATCTCAGTTCTCAGTTCTCAGCATCAAATTAAAGACTCAAATATCAAATTAATCCTTATTTTAAGTAATCCAATTAATTAAAATCTATGCTATTAAAGAGCTGCTGTCATTCAAAATATATCTGGGTAGCCCCACTGAAACAAAGAGGCAAATAGCAAGGTGCCAAAGTTGTCTGTCCTATGAAGTTGCCCTTCAAGATTTCTTCAAAGTAAAATACCAATATCATAAACCAACTACAACTCAAAGGACGTTTAAAGTTAAAAGGAAGCTCATCCAAGTTTAAAAGCAATCACAAATGCTTTCTGGTAGCTCAATTAATAATATCTTTAGCTTAAACATCTTTAACTGCTCTCAGAAACTCATGCAGAGAAGAGGGATGAACCATTACCACTGCTTGTAATTTTACAAGCCTCTGAAAAAACTAAAAATAAGAGAATACAGAGCAACCAGCTCAACCTAATTTCTAATTTTGACAATGAGTCTACTGCTAAAGATCTATAAACAACAATTTTTTTTAAAAAATTACTAATGCTCTACAGAAAATCTTACGAATTGCAACTCCTCGATTCAAAGTTGAAACTTTACTCCAATATTACGTGCAGCCAGCCCCTAATATTTTCCATTTCAAATTTCATGCAGATTATGTATATCACATGCAAACAGGCGGCACATAAATAGTACACAACTGATTAAAAAGTTGTTCATCCCTGGGCATTATATGCCCATTTGAGGTATCCCAGTCACAAGAAAAACGCACCTGAATGGACGATGAATACTGTCTGTTACCATGGCACCTCAATCTAATTACATGACTGATCAGGGCTAGAGAGAGTGCACTGAAACCTACACCACTGACATGTCTCTACATGATTGCGCGCACGCACACACACACATATACACAGAGAGAAATGTGGAAAACCTATCAGCTTTTTGCTTACATTGTACAATTGATGAGAATAAAGACAGTTCTATTCAACACAACCATGACCTGTAAAACAGTTAAAAGGAGAGAAAAATAACAACCTATAACTCTAAGCAATACAGTATCTCATCAATTATCTCTTCCTCATTCATAACCCTTATTCTGAGAGCAATAAGACTAGGCTGTCCTCACCAGCCAGACAAACAAATCCACATTCACTGATGAAATCTGAATTTGCTGTTAAGGTTTCATGGGAAACTGAAATAAACTGCCCCAAAATGTCAGCAAAGTAACTGGCTACACCGAAGCATATGTAATTACTAGCCATGTCAAAAAAACAAAATGTGGATTGCTAAAGATTTAATCACCTCCATCATGAAATATTTCATATTCAAATATATGGGTGAAAAAAGAATCTACAAACTAAGACGTGCAACTGCATAATTGTGGTTACCCAAATACATAATTATACAAACTAATGTATTATGCATATTATGAAATTATAAATTATGGGATTTCCTTCCTCTAATTCTATCTGGGTTCATGATCACTAGGGAAAAATATTATTCTGGAGGAGTCCCTATTGCATACCTTACGGTAAACAAAATAAAAATAGCTTGTTCTTGTTAGCCACATAGTGTGGCATTATATAACAAGCTTTCAATTTGCTCTCTTTTCTATCATTGCTTTCTGATCTTTTTGCTGCTCTTTTTACAAAATCCAAAACACCTCCGGTATCTTCCTTTTAAAATGTTATTTTGTTGTTACTATTAGCATTTCAATACAGATCGACATATCCAGAAAACACTCTCTCTCTAACATTTGGGGGGCTACGCAATTGTTTAAGGCTTAGAGATTAGATTAAGGCTTCGGAAAACTAAAATAGGGTAACTTTTTAAAAATAATTTTTAGAGTGACGGGAAGCAGGACAGCAACCTAGAGACACAGAACGTAATTCGAAGGCAGTAATACTCGGAATTTTCTCTCTTCTCCCCCCTTTAATTTTTTATTTTTTATTTAAGATGGGGAAACTCTGTCATGTCTACAGAAAAGCCGATCCTTCCTGGAAACCCAAAGAATCTTGGCAGCCCCTTGAAGGTCCTGCACGGTCCGTATTTTCTCCCAGAGAAAGACTCCCGGGTGAAAAAAGCAGAAGCTGCCGGGGAGGATGTGTCAAGGTGAAGGGTAACGCAGGCCTCCACCTGTAACGGAGCCCTACCTCCTTGCCTGGTGCCCAGCAGTGGCCTTTACTCACTCACTGACTCCTTGCTGTAGTGCCCGGAGGAGCCTCCAGCCGATTTGGGGCCTGAACGTAGGAGCATAGTGGAGGAGCTGGAACTGCTACTGCTGCTGGGCACATCCCAGTCCCAGCGCCGCCTCCTCCTCCTCCTCCTGCGCCGCCTCTTCGCTTCATTCACCCCTCCGGCAGCCACCCAGCCCCGTACTATACAGTGCAGCGACGACTGGCCCTCCCTACTATCACGCCGGGGGAGGGGAGAAGGGCGCGCGCTCCTCCGCTCGCCCTCAGCAGCCCAGCCGGCCTTCAGCAGCAGCGAGAGGGACGCAGCTCTAGCCAGACGGCGGCGGCGGCCAGCTCAGCAGCCGGCGGAGGGCGTTGCTTCGGGACACGCTCAAACTCCGGGGCCTGTGCTAACGCCACACGCTGCTCGTCGCCCGACTTCTCGCGCCAATGGTTCCACGGGCGCAGTCACGCACTAGGGCAAAGCGGCAGGAAGGCACAGGCGGGCAGCTAACTCGGCAGCCTGCTTAACGCCAATGCCCGCCCTGGATACTCTAGAGAGGAAGGAAAGCAAGCGAGCACAAAAGCCAAATGCGCGCGGGGGGGGGGGTCATACGACTTCCTGTTCTTTCTTTACTCTATGCTTCTATGGGGGGGGGGGTTCTCGTATGCATAGAATGCAAAGAATTTCAGCCAGCACCACCCACAGCCCATAAAAATAAAACCATCCTGGCCTGTTTCTCCTTCGTCCTCCCGCTCCAGCCTCAACACGAAAGCCGAGGGGGGAGCGGGGGGAGAGAAAACGAGAGGAAGAAGGAAAGAAGAGATGCAATTACAGGATTCTAGTAAGAGCGACTTCCAGTCCTTGACATAACAGAGCATTACGTCGCCCTTCCCCCTTTCCAGTAACCTTGTATGTGTTTTTCCAGCTGGAAATATCTGGAGGCTTGGGGGGAGGGGAGAGAAAGAGAAGCGAAAGCAGAGGAGGAATTTTTAAAAAGCCACTTACTGTATAAAGTGTCAGTGGAGACTGGGGTGTGGGGAAGACGGACCGGAAAAAAAAAACAAAACTTGCCAGCTGATCTCAAGGGCTTGGGCTTTTTTTTTTTTTTTGCTTTTTTTAAAAAAAAATAATTTATTTCTCTTCCCCTTCGGTATGATACAGTTGCTTCCTCACCAACTGTAATAGAAATGATGTCTGCGGTGTAGAAGCTCGCTCCTCTCTTCTCCAGTATGTAAATGTGTAATAGAAGGCAAATATGGAGCAGTTGGCTGCTTCTGCGTTAGCTCAAGGATCCTACTTCATGCAAAGGGGTGGAGGAGAAGGAGGCAACTCTTTGTCAGACGGCCAAGAGAGCCACACAGATTATTGCATACGCACAACAGAGCCTGGCCAAGCCAGCCTTAACCCTTTCCGAGTTTCTTCGTAGCTTCTAGCAAAGAATGTGGGGTTTTGTTACTATTGCGTGTATCTTTGCCTGTCCTTCTTTATCCTTCACCCTAAATTAAACACACATGCACACTATAGGACTGTCATCTTCCTCCACCGAAGTCCCCAAACCCCATGGGGATATGAAGCAAGGACTGCCTTTTTTAAAGAAACTTTTGCAAACATTTTGAATATATGTGTGTGTGTATATACATGTATATATATATATATATATACATACACACACACATACAGACAGACACACACTTAGATCCTTCTACTATGCATCTATACTCAGAACAGACATTAACTTCAATGAGTTTGCTCCTTCATAGGTATGTTGACCTAGTTTATACTGAGGGGTTACTGTAGTAGTGGTCACAAGCATGAGGGGAAATTTTGTCCTACATCACTAGTAACATGAAAAGAGCCAAGAAATGCTTGTACCAGGTAACTATACATTGCATCACTGTTCTGCACCCCAGTATTGGCATGCTCTATAGAAAAATAGTGCATATTCCCATTATTTCAGAAGCTGCAGCTGGCACAGACTGCAGTGACACGGGCAGTAGTGGGAAAATTGCGGTACACCCATGTAACATCACTGCTACGTGAGCTGTACCAGCTCCCAGTAGACTTCTGGATACAATCAAAGTGCCGATTGTCACGTTTAAAGCCCTTTATGGCATGGGGCCAGGTTACTTGCTCCCTTTTGGTTTCTGCCTGTTCCACTAGGTTCCCTTGGTGAAATCACCTTGGGAGGCCTTGGAAGTGTGCTTCCTTGTCATGGCACCTACCTACATACAACAGCCTCCCCCCAGATATCCAGAAGGCCCCAACCCTATTGGCCTTCAGGAAAGCAATGAAGACCTGGCTTTTCCTCCAGGCTCGGGGGCCAGGATATGGTGGAACCAGCGGTTGTGTTGATTGATGGATGTAAATTTTATTGGGGCTTCAACTTTTGTCATTTCATATGGCTTTATGTTCTAATTATATTGTGTTTTTATTCTTCTTAGCCACCTAGAGTTCCTTCTGGTAGCCATATAAGTCTAATAAAGAAATATATAAATAAGATCTCATTATATTTGACCACGGAGAAATGTTCCATTTAGTCCCACAATAGCAATACTTTCTTGAAGAAATATGGGATCCCAAATAAAGAATAAGAAATATTCCTTCATTAAGTGAAGAAAGTATGCATGGGAAAGGCTATAATAATAAAACGACTAGATGCTGAACCATATTATCCTTTCACAGGATATTGGATTACTGGATGTTGTTCCCCCCACCCCTACTATTTTATTATGTTATGGAACAGACAAGGATGCTTTATGGAGAAAAGCTACATGGAAAGAACTTGTTGAGTTATTTATTGTAACAGTTGAAATGAAGCATTAGTCAAAATTGAAGATGGGAACTGCTTCCCTGTGATTAACTTGATATATAATTGATTAGCCTTTTAATTTCCAAAAATAGATTCAATCTATTACAAACCTGAGGTATTTTATGCATGTCCATGAAATCTGTTAACATGACACTCTTACCTATCGTTAACTTAATCATTGTGAAATTTTCTGGGTTTGCGTAATGCACTGAACCATAAACTAAGCACATGTGTTAGGTTTGCACAACATGGTTCCCTAAAATGAGATTGGCCAGACTGTTGTTTGATGTGTTTTGTAAATATAGGCCAGGTTTGAGTATGGGGGTGCCCCTGTGGAATTACGTATATGAAACAATATTATTCAGAAAGGGTTCAGGCTCCCAAGATACTCAGATGTCAAGTTATGTTAGAAAAACTGTTTAAGAGGTCCAGTTTTCTCAAAAATACTATATTGACACTAGTTAACTCTTTTAAGGACTTTCATAGCAAACTAAAAATCAAAAGATTAAGACAGTACCCAGCCATTTCATTAAAATAAGACTAAGGCCACTTCTGAATCAAGAGAGCTGGTTTATCAGATCTGACAATTTCACCTCTAGACAACCTGATAAAGTTTGATGAAATTAATAAGTTTTCATCTGGAGTTCAATATTAAATGCAGTAATTTAAGAAAGCTTACTGCTTTGTGCGGAGTAATTGCTATATGCAGCTAAAATAATTATTTAATCAGAATTGAATTATGTCCTGACCTGTAAGAAATGGCAAAAGCTATAAGAAATCAATCTGAACTTCTTCAGCTTAATGCCTAAATACACTAAGGAATGTATTATTGATGGAAAAATCCAGGTTATCACAATTTAAAACACACCCAAGAGAACAGGACATCAACTGCATTTTCTTTTTGCTAAGTCAGTCTCTCCTACTTTTATTTAATGATGCTATCAGCTCTTTTGACTTGCCATAGCCAAGATAGGCTTTATGCCTTTATTTCTCTTTAGTGACCTCCATAACAATAGAACCTGAGGCCCATCAGCATCAGTGCTAGAAGCCTATAGAATCTGAGGCTCTCAACAATTGTATTGCATCAGCTGTATACCACAGCATGATATCCAGAGTACAGGCTCCAAATCCAGATCACTGATGGATGGCAGTGGGGAGACAGAAAACTCTTTCTGCTGCCATCTTGTGGTCATCCATAGTTTTGCAACCCAGATCTGGTATCCTTAGCATACACGATGCATGCTTCAAAAATTGTTCAAAAGAAATGTTTCTGCTTGAATTTTGTAATATATTCATTATAGGGGTTCCTCTTTTGTTCTGGCTTCCTTGTGAGCCTGAAACAAAAAGGTGCTGGTGCTTTAAGGAGTCAGTTCATTAAAGTTAATGCAATTCTTAAATCAGCCACACCATTTCTCTGAAATAGTGGGGCTATTTTAATGAACAGCTGAGAAGTGCTGTGCTCACATGAAGTCTACAGCCCTTCTTCTATATTATGGGTGTAATATAGGATTACTTATATAATAAACCTTATCTAATGCCTTTGCTCTTTATTCAAGAAAAATCTAACTGAGTTGTGAGGATCTTTTACAATAGTGTACAGTTAATGTGCCAGGAGATAAGCTACTACTTGAAAAGACTCATCCAGTTCAATCATTGGTAATATAATATATATTATTGTTTTCCACACAAATTTATGAATATAAGACAAGGCTCATCTTGACATTCTAAATGCACATATACTGTTCAGAAAACATTCCACAATGACATATGAGATCATGTATATACTATATATTTACTGCATATAGTGCAGCTATATCTGTGACAGTGGAAGGACATAGCATAGCTTTACATTCAAATATGCTGCCTTAACATCATCACTAAGTATTGCCAAATGTTCCTCATAGCCTTCAAGTATTATATTCCAAAATAATTGTCATAAAAATAACATAATTGGTCTCACTACAGTCTCTAGTGAGCAAGAATAAAACATTTCTCAAAAGCAATCACACAGGCTCTGTCTTTACAAGAAGCTCAAGAAAAAATTCTTTTGGATCCAGCCAAATACTTTTGGAATAGATTGACTTGGGGCAATTCACACATTTACAACTTTATTTCAGGTCACAAACGTTTAGCTCAGTTCTGGTAGGTAAGCCAAGTTACACCACCAGCATTTATTCTTCCTTTCCTTTCCTTTCCTTTCCTTTCCTTTCCTTTCCTTTCTTGCAATTTCCTTTTCTTTTTTCAGACAGATCAGGCCTTCTCAAATTGTACTAATTGTTCTGTGATTGGTTTGGGAGTCACCCCCTTAGGAGGTTGTGGTTACAGTATTAATATCAATAAATCAAACATGTTTCAGATTTTTCTACTTAATTTTAATCTGTCTTAGGAAGAAATCTCATCTAATAATTCTGGATGTATCCATTTCTTTATTGTTCATTCTAGTGAAGGATCACAAAGGTTTCAGTTTAAATCAAGTGTTTTTAAAAATCAAATATAACCTGAAAAGATAAAATCTATCTATCTGTGTGTATATAAATATATACACAAAAATATATATTTAATATATATTTTACATAACCTGAAAGATAGATAGATAGATAGATAGATAGATAGATAGATAGATAGATAGATAGATAGATAGATAAGAATGATTAAGATGACTTATTTCTCATATTTATTGTAGAAAAAAATGTAAAATATGGTTCAAAGGTCTCTGAGTCTGAGAGTTCTTTCTTAAATATACAGTACATGATTACCGATACTACTGAAGAGGTCAAACATAATTGCCAAAGGCCTTGCTTGTACTCTCACAATTCCACTTGAAAAACATGTGCCCCAGGATAATACCCATAGAATCCCTTTTGAATTAGAATTATTACTCCTAGCTATAGTAGGATTCATTTGTCATTATTGTGAGGCCATCGTCGCTTGTTACAGATGCTGCTAACTGTTGGGGTAACAATAAGCTGCAAGCTGTAACAATAAGTTGCAAGGTTATAAGCAAGACATAGATCAGCATTGTGTTTACATATACTTCATTAACATTTCTTTCTTTCTTTTTTATCAGCCCATAACCCGACTGAATCTTGTTTTGAATATGTATACCAATGTCCATGTACAACAATGATAGTAGAGCGGCCTTCTAAACACATGTGGCAACAGTATGTACTCAAATGATAATAGTGAGTCATTCTGTTGACTCAGATAATTTGAAGGGGTGGGAATGGAACTTGGTCACTCTCATTGTCTCTTATTAAAGAATAGTCATGGGATGATGGAATTGGACTCTGGCAGGAGAAATACTCAAATCAGTTTGATTTAATTTGGTTGCATGAGCTGTAACTGTAGGGATTTTATTTGAGACTTAGATTGTTCTAAGAAGATGATCTGAACAAAATTAAGGAAATAAGAGGGAGCTTAGCAGCTTGGGGGAGAAATATAACTTATTTAGTGGTATTTATCATTTACA